TGAATGGAAGAGCATTCTGCTCATTAACGAGATCCCGGGCTCTGACCAGCTCACCTCGGCCCTTTTCACCACCTGCTTCGACGTTCTGTCTGGCCCCTCCAAAGCCGAGGACCTGAGCAAGAACATTGAGCATAACATGACCGAGGTCCTCTCCACCATCATAGACGAGGCCCCATCAGTAACCCACGATGTTGTCGATGTCATAGTCGCACAGTTCCTCTGGGCAGACCCCATTACTCTCGGCGCTTCAAAGGGCAAGAAGAGCATCCAAGTGGATGCTAAGCAATCGACGCTGCGTCGCAAAGAGGCTCCGCCCGCATACAACATGGCCAAGAACGTCTGCAACTCGTTTCCCGACAAGATGGCGCGCCTGATTGGCAACTATTTCAGTTCCGTCATAGTCGACTTCACAAACTCTGGCACAACATACAAAGTCCATGACGCTGATGACGACCTACCAAAGGGCCCTTCCGAGGAGGACTTGAATGAGGCGCACAAAGCGCATCGCCTACTGCGCGAGCTGTGGAAATGCTGCCCGGGTGTCCTCCAGGACATCATCCCGCACTTACAGGATGAGCTCGCCACAGAGAACGTGCAGCTTCGTCAGCTTGCGACCGAGACCTTTGGTGACATGATTTCGGGAATTGGCGCGGCAGGCCCTCCTCCTCCACCCGACCTCGATCCGGTCGCATACCCCTCCCAAAGTCTGTCGCGAACAGAGTCTGTGCGACCTTTTGATTATCTCACGACTCCTGTTTCCATCAACTCATTTCCTACACAATACCCCGTTGCATATCATTCATTCCTTCAGCGCAAAAACGACAAATCGGCCGTTATACGCGCATCATGGGCTACCGGCATTGGCCGCATTTTAATGACATCAGCTGGAGGCATTGGTCTTGATCTCGAAGAAGAGCAAAAACTGCTCAAACATTTTGCTGATTGTTTGATTGACAGTGACGAAAAGGTGCGGTTAGCGGCCGTCAAGGCAGTTGCGCACTTTGAGTTCAATGACATCGTTCGCAAACTAGGTAGCAACGGCGGCATGGCCGAAACTGGCTCTATCCTTTCCAACCTCGCAGATCGTGTCAAGGACAAAAAGAGCGTCATTCACTCAGAGTCCATGAAACTGCTTGGTAGGATTTGGGGCGTGGCGGCTGGTGCCATTGCCGAGGGCGACGAAATTATCAAGTCACTCTTGGGTCCTATCCCTTCACGCATTCTCGAGGCTTGCTACGTAAACGATCTTGAAATCAACGTCCAAGTCGACTTGGCGTTGTATGATTCATTGCTCCCTCTTGGATACCCGCCTCTAAAAGCAAAGGCGGCGCCCAACTCACAGGTGGTCAAGGATAGCCAAACAGCAAGCGAACAAAATTACACGGAAGCAGACTTGGACAAAATTCGGACCGAGAGGCAACTCGTCCTTGTCAACGGGCTTGAAGAAAAGGCCAAAAAGGTTTTCTTTGCCAAGCAAGGAAACCAAGGCCCAGGCGCAAAGTACATGGAGCATTTCCTGAAGTTGTGTGAAGAATACAATGGCGGCGTGACTGATAAGAGCGGAAAGGATGTCACAACCAACCTCGAAGGCCTCATTACCTACTACGCAAAGACACTTCCGGACTCGACTAGGGTCAGGGACGATCTTTGGAAGTTTGCCAAGACCCATGATCGCCGCGCCTATGCCCTCATACGCTTTTGCATGGACCCAGCCAGTGACTACCGCAAGGTTTACAGGTCGATCAAAGAGCTCAGGAAGAGGATCGAGGATGGACCTGGTGCATCTCTGCTTGACACCCTCACCCCGCTCCTCTATCGTGTTAGCCTATTGTGTTACAACAAGAGCCATGTCCCGGCTGTGATTGAGTTCACTAGAACCGACAACAAGGGCCTCGGTGCCACTGCTCATGAACTTCTAAAGGAGATCTCTACGAAGCATCCCAAGGTATTTTCCACTCACGTGAAAGATCTATGCAAGACACTTGAGAGCGAAGCACCAACCGCGACCAAACCGAATCCTCCTGGTGCTGTGGACGACCTCAAGGCTTGTGCCGCATTTGCAAGGAAATTTCCCACGGACATTCCCATGAACGGTAAAGATAGCCGAAAATTGGTGCAGAGTTTCTTGAACTTTGCATTCTACGGCACACCTCCACAGGCTGCCAAACATGCAATCACCATCATCATGAACAGCGACGATAAGAAGGAAATGCACGCAAAAGAGATTCTTACCAAGAGCATCAAAGGCTTTGAATATGGTGGTGCACATTGGCTTACAAAGCTGGCTGCGCTCAGCCAATTAGTTCTGCTTGCCCAGTCAGATTGTGAAGATGAGATGGATGCAGTAATTGAAGTTGCGATTCAGGAAGTCCTTCAAAAACCACACGCAACATCCGCCGAAGCTGATGCCGAATGGATGGAAACACCCGATGCCGATATTCAAGGTCGGTCCTGGGCCATCAAGATTCTTGTCAACCGACTGCGCTCGTTACCTGCCGAAGCGACCTCCAAGGAGGCTGTGCAGGATACATACACGCTACTGAACCGCTTTGTGCAGAACAATGGTGAAGGATCCACCGACGACAGCACTCCGGCTGCACACAAGTCGCGTCAGCGCCTCCTTGCAGCCAACTCTCTGCTCAAGCTTTCTTGTCATAAACGGCTCGACCCCTTCTTGACACCTGCGAACTTTGTTCAACTGGCTCTTGTGACGCACGACCCTTGTACCCAGGTACGCAAAGGCTTTGCTGACAAGCTGATGAAGTACCTTGGCCAAGGTCGTCTTCCTCCCCGCTTCTACACCATACTCTTTTTCCTCGCGCACGATCCGGACAAGAACATCAAAAATGGCACAATGACCTGGATCCGTGCACGTCGCGCTGCCTTTGCTGCACGAAAAGAAACTGTTTTAGAGTCGGTGTTTGCGAGATTGTTGAGTTTACTCGCCCACCACCCAGATTTTGACACCGAAGATGATACACTGAAGCTCATGTCGGAGTACATCTTGTACTATCTAAAGTGCGTGGCAACCGAAGAAAATTTGCCTCTCATCTTCCACGTTGCTCAACGTGTCAAAGGCGTTGCAGACGGAATTTCGCCTTCACGACAGGCTGATGAGAATCTGTACATCCTGTCTGATTTGGCACAAGCCCTGATCCGCTCATGGGAAGAGCAAAACAATTGGACCATGCAATTATACCCAGGAAAGATGAAGCTCCCATCTGGAATCTTCCGACCTCTCGAAAGTCATGAGCGGGCACAGGAAATTGCAATGAAGACATGGATCGGAGAAGACTTGGTGGACGAGCTCGATCCCCTTGTGCGAAAATACATTCGAAATAAGAAGCGGAAGGCTTCGGAGGGTGCTGAGAAGCCACGCAAGAAGGCCAAGGGTGATCGGCCTATCAAAGAGAAGAAGGCCAAGGCAGATCGACCTGTGAAAACACCCAAGAAGAAGAGGAGAAGCGGTGACGATGATGATGCAAGCGACGTTGATGGTGGTGTCGCTCCATCAAGCGGCCCCCGTAGGAAGAGCGATCGGCGGAGCACTGTGCACAAGAGCTACGTTGAGGTCTCAAGTGACGATGAAGACGCCGAGGCTGGTACTGAAGAAGTCGAAGAAGAAGATGCGGATGCTTCTGAGGACGAAGAAGCCGAGGACAGGTCAAGTCCCGCACCTGAAGAAGATGTGGAGATGGCTGATACAGAGACACCGGCTGAACAGGAAGCTGAAGCCACTGCGGAGGCATCCGAGCCTTCTTCAGAAGCCGAGCCTGAACCCGAACCCGCGCCGGTCAGAAAATCAGCCAGAGGCAAAGCTGCGGACAAGACCAACGGTGTCAAGTCTTCTCCTGCTCAAAAGCGCAAAGCTGCTGAGCCGGTCAAAGAGGACACACCACCCAAATCAGCAAAGAGCGCAACGAAAGCCAGAGCAACGAGAGCCAAGGCAAATGGAACTGCAGCGGCAGTCCCGTCAAGCCCAATTGCCAATGGTACACCAATTGTTCGGCGCAGCGGTCGCGCTCGTGCCTAAGATTCTGCTCTATATATGTCTTGACCTCATACAATATCAAGACTACTCCGTGCCTGGCACAAAATGGCGTTTCGAGACCGATATTTGTTTCACTCTGTTGTTAGATACCATAGTTGCGTCAGTCAGTATGTTTGTTTGCGGCAAAAAGGTAGTTTTGGATTTTGTTTAGCTGGGCGTCCAAGGAAATAAGTGTTGCTGTGGTTTTCACCCGCGGCCTACCAAGGAAGGTGGTAGCAATGAGGGAGTTTACTATCTCATGCATGTATCCAAGTCGTTCTTGTACACGTGTGACTCGCCCGTTTGTGGGGGCGGTAGAGTGTATATCTCAAGATACAATGAGGAATAGATAGCTCGAATAAGTTCATGTCATGTCGTTCGAATCTTCTATTCCATTACTTTATGCTAGCAATGGATTTGTTGTAAAAATGGGATATCAGGATTACCGTGATGGGTGTAGATGCACTTTCACGATACTCACGTACCTACAGTCACGTGGGTTGACGCTACTATGTATGTACGTACATAAGAGCCAAAAGCTACTCTAAAGCAACTTGACACACTTTGACACCACACATGTCATTGAGGACTTCGTACGACTTGGGCGTCTCGCATGTCTTCAATGTCTCGCCCAATTGGAGCGTATCACAGCCTTGTATCCACATGCATTCGGCTGTGCCTAGTACCCCGCCTGAAGTGCAATACGATAACCTCACTATATTTACGTTAGTTGAACACAACAGCACAACCCCACCCCAGCTCAAAAGCGCTATCACAGCCTGCATATCTCATTGTGACAGCATAGCGCGGAATATTTGTGTCCTATCTTTTCCCATCGATGTTGAGGAGGGTGTGAAGGTCTTGCCAGATAGTAGACTCACCACCGCACGCTCTTGCTACTAGGCTACCGCGTTGAGACTCCTGCAATTCGTTCCTACTACATGCGCCGTGCTTGTTTTCCTTCAAAGGCATGCGTCTTCTCAAGGTTGAAGAAAATGGAGACTTCTCTTTCGCCGAGTTCGACGAAGACAGTAAACCGCCGTATGCGATACTTTCGCACAGGTGGGCGGAAGGGACAGAGGTAACCTTCGAAGATTTGCAAAGGAACATGGGCGAAGAAAAGCTCGGCTATGAAAAGATTCGTCTCTGCGGGAAACAAGCACAGCGAGATGGCTTGCAGTATTTCTGGGTCGATACTTGCTGCATTAACAAGGCAAACAAGGCTGAGCTGTCGCTGGCTATCCTGTCCATGTTTCGCTGGTACCGGGACTCGGCTCGATGTTATGCCTTTTTGTCTGATGTCTCGAGCCCACCTTTGGGCACTACCCTAGCATGCAGCCCGCAGGAATCCGAAGTCCAAAAAAGCGAATGGTTCACTCGAGGCTGGACACTTCAGGAGCTCCTCGCACCCAGATCGGTTGAGTTCTTCTCACGAGAATGGGAGAGGTTGGGCGATAGGAAGTTGCTAATACAACAAGTGCACGAGGCTACTGGGATCCCGCATCGAGCGCTGCAAGGAGGTGCATTGTCTCAATTCAGCGTCAGTGAGCGGTTGCGGTGGATTGAATACCGGCATACTACATATCCAGAAGACAAAGCATATTCCCTAGCGGGTGTTTTGGACGTTGATCTGGCACCATGTTATGGCGAAGGTGTTGAGGGAGCGTTTAGGCGACTCCACGACGAGATCGACAAATCGACCCGATGTATTCAAGACTTATGTGGCACAGATTCGCGGAAAGACAAGCAGCGCATTGAGGAGATGAAGGGCGGCCTGTTGAAAGATGCATACAATTGGGTCTTTCACAATGATAGTTACACGTATTGGCACGCAGACCCGGAGAGCCGGGTGTTATGGGTCAAGGGTGACCCTGGCAAAGGCAAGACGATGTTGCTCTGTGGCATCATTGACGAATTGGAGACGTCTACCCCAATTAGGAACGCAACGACAGTGTCTTACTTCTTCTGCTAGGCCAATGACCCGCGGATTAATAGCGCTACAGCTGTGCTACGTGGATTGTTGTACTCGCTTGTGAGCCAGCAGCTATCACTCGTGTCTTGTGTGCGTAAAAAGTACGATCACATAGGCAGAGCAATGTTTGAGGACGTAAACGCATGGATTACCTTGGAAGACATTTTTACGGATGTGCTACAGAACCCGGACCTTCTTCCCACTACTTACCTGATCATCGATGCGTTAGACGAGTGTGTTACTGACTTACCAAAGCTTCTTGATTTTATCATAAAGAATTCTTCTGCCTCCCGCGTTAAGTGGATTGTTTCTAGCCGCAACTGGCCAGAAATCGAAGAACGCCTAGAGCAAGCTGGCCCCAAAATCAGGTTGAGCCTCGAGCTAAATCCGACTTCTGTTTCTAAGGCGGTCCGAGTTTTCATTGAGCAGAGGGTTTTTGAACTTGCGAAGCAGAACAATTACGACGAGGGGACCCGGCGCGCCGTGCTAGATCATCTAGCGCTGAATGCGAACGACACATTTCTCTGGGTAGCGCTAGTGTGCCAGCATCTTGAAGTGACAGCGAGGCGGAATGTCTTGAGGAAATTACAGTTGTTTCCACCTGGATTAGATGCCCTATACGAACGAATGCTGCAACATATTAGTAGGAAGGACGATGCTGAACTCTGCAAACATGTGCTGGCTGCAGTCACGCTCGTCTACCGGCCTATCACGCTTAAAGAAGTTGTAACGCTTGTCGCGCCACTCGAAGATGCGACTAGTGACGCAGAGTTACGAGAGATCATCGGTCTTTGTGGCTCCTTTCTCACTTTGCGAGAACAGACTTTGCATTTTGTGCACCAGTCAGCCAAAGACTTTCTTCTCACCAAGGCTTCCCAGGAAATTTTCCCAGTTGGACAAAAAGCTATTCATCATACTATCTTTGCCAGATCACTTCAAGTCATGTCAACAACCCTAAAAAGGGACATTTACGGACTGAAAGTAATAGGCACGCTGATCGAAGACGTTAAGAAGCCTACACCGGACCCATTGGCAGCAGTCTCTTATTCCTGTGTTTACTGGATCGACCATCTATGCGAATCAAAGTCTGCACCTTCCACGTCTGATCCAGAACACCTGCGAGATGGAGGGATTATTGATGGGTTTCTGAAAAAAACCTTTCTATACTGGCTAGAATCCCTCAGTCTTTGCAATAGTATGTCGTACGGAGTAGTTTCGGTTAACAAGCTGCATATATTAGCACGGGTATGTCTGCGCTAAACAGCTCTGATATGTATAGATTCTATACTGATCGTAGCCAGGAACATGGAGAGGCAACTCTCTTCACTCAGCTTGTATATGATGCCTATCGTTTTATTATGTATCACAAGCAAACGATTGAACTTGGCCCCCTCCAAGCATACATATCTGCGTTATTGTTCAGCCCAACAGACAGTCTCATCAGAAAGGCTTACCATCATGAAGCAGCTGAATGTATTTCGATCACAACAGCCATGTCAAGCACCTGGAGCGAATGTGTACAAACGCTTGAGGGACATGAAGGTCCTGTCTCCTCAGTAGCCTTCTCTCATGACTCGTCGCGTGTCATATCTGGGTCCTATGATAGCACGGTCAGGGTCTGGGACGCCAGCAGCGGCGCCAGCCTTCTCACACTGAAAGGCCATACCACTCTTGTGACATCGGTGGCCTTCTCCCATGACTCGTCACGAGTCGCCTCAGGGTCATTTGATACCACGATAAGGATATGGGATAGCAACAGCGGCATCTGTCTTCCAACACTAAGAGGCCATAACGAACGTATCAACTCAGTGGCCTTCTCTTGTGATTCCTCATGGATTGCCTCCGGATCACTTGACTCCACTGTCAAGATCTGGAACTCATACAGTGGAGATTGTATCCAGACATTTGATCATGGCTATGAAGTTAGCTTAGTAGCCTTCTCTCACGGCTCTACCCGATTAGTATCAGTATGTGTGAAGGGCACAGTGATGGAAGTAAGGGTCTGGGACCTAAACGAAGGCAAACTTCTAAAGACCTTTGGAGATGCTGGCAACGACTTAAAATCAGTATTCTTCTCGCATGATTGTGCTAGAATTGCGTTGAGCACATGGGAATCTGAAGAAAAAACCATTTCAATCTTAGATTTGGACACTGGCGAGTGGCTGGCGACACTCAGCGGGCATATTGATGACATTCGTTCGGTCAATTTCAACCGCAACTCGACCCAGTTAATATCTGGATCAAGCAATGGTACTATCGAGCTTTGGGATGCGATCACTGGAGAGTGTCTTCGAACATATAAAGGTCATACTGAAGATGTTAATTCAGTAGCCTTCTCTCACGACTCAATTTATCTGGTATCTGGGTCATCCGACGACACAATCAAAATCTGGGATGCAAGTAGTACTGTGTGCCTTCAGAACTCAAGGGAACATAGTGGTGAAGCTATATCAATAGTCCTTTCTCCTGACTCGGCACTACTAGCATGCGCATACAGCAACGCCACAATCAAAATCTGGCACGTGAGTAGTGGAAAGTTTCTACAAACCCTCACGCGCCTTGATCATGAGGCCACTATGTGGGAGGTCTACCATTCTGCGATCCTCTCAATTGCCTTTTCTCATGACTCAAACTTGCTAGGATCTGGATCAAATGACGGAACAATCATAATATGGGACCTAAGTAACGGTCAATGTCTTCGAAAAATACTCAATAACTATCCTGTCCGCGATTTAGTATTCTCACACAACTCTGCCTGGCTGGCGTCGGAATCCTCAACATCAGAGGGTTGTACTAGTAAGCTGTGGGATCTGAGCAGTGGCAAGTGCATCCGAAACTTCGCCTGTCATGATACATGGGCTGAAAAAAATCATATCGGATCGGTAGCCATATCCCACGACTCGGAACAGCTAGCAATGGCATCTCGAAGCTTCATAATTCATATTTGGAACACTAGCAATAGTAAGAGACTCCAGACGCTGGAAGGTCATAGTAATATGGTCCTCTCAATAGCTTTCTCCTTTGACTCAGCGTTTCTTGCATCTGGATCAGCCGACCATACAGTGAAGATTTGGGATTTAAAGCGCGGTGTCTGCCTTCAAACTTACGAAACTGATACATGGATCTTACATATGACATTTGAAACAACTGGGCCGTATCTTCATATCGGCATTGGCACTATCGATATTAGCGCTGCTTTAGGCGTATCGTTACCCTCAAATAATTTGGAGCCTTGCATTCCTCGATATCACGGCATTGGGCTAAGTCACAATACAGAGTGGATAACATGTGATTCAAAGCTCGTTGCTCGGATACCTCCTGAATATCGGCCACGACGTGTGGTCTGGCCAGGACAAATGATTGTGTCGGGGAATACTATTGCCATCGTTATCAATTCGGGAATCGTCTGGATATGTCAAGTCGACGTCAATAAGCTTTTAGCTCTGGAATGATAATCTTCTCGTCTGTTGGACTATGATATCTCTGTTCTAGGTGCCTAAAGACAATACCGATGTACACCTACTGCTGATTTGCCACGATGCAGTTTCGAGTACTTCTAGAAAATCGGAATAGACTCCATGTTTTCTACCTCTGGTTCGCTAACGTTTGTTGATGTATATGTCTGATAAACTATGGGAGAAATTTTCAACGAATCTGTAATTGTCGCACCCTCAGTGAATAACTATGCGACTTCCCCACCAAGAACGATTCTTGCGGGTCTCATGCCAATTAGGATAGACTGGGCGCGACTCCTCACATGCTGTTCTTTTCAAAGCGATGATCCGAAGAACCCTGAACCATCTTCTTGAGATCCATCCAATACCACTGGGCGAACCAAAATGAAGGGACTTGTAGCTACCCTATCATTGCTACGCATTCGAATGCCACCGCCCGAAGCTGAACCAAACACAGTCTTCACAAATATCCTGCTAGAAAGTATAGAATAATGCCGCACACTGCTATCTCGGTTTTGAAAGGCAATCAGGAAATCTACTATCCTTCACGCACCGCACCGCCCATCTCAAGCAAAACCACACCCACATTAATGAGTGAACAACCACCACGCCCTCAACTCGGCAACCGTCTCCCCATCACCGCCCTCCACAGCGGAAACCCCAATCCTCCCCCTTTCTACAAACGACCCTCAAAATGCCGTCGCGGACAGCAGCACCCACCACAATAGCCGAGCGACGAACCGCCGCCGACGCAATCATCCTCCACCAAATCAACCACCTCCCCCGCAAAAAACTCCTCATCGTCTTCTCCGTCCTCGCCATCTCTCACGTCGTCTGCTTCATCGACCAGACAGGCATCGGCGTCGCGCTCTCGACCATCGGCCGCGAACTCGACGCCGAAGACACGATTAGCTGGGCCGGCACGAGCGCGCTGATTGCGAATACGATTTTCCATGTCTTGTATGGACGGATGAGTGATTTATTCGGTACTTTTTTTTCCGCTTTTTCTACTTCCAACTACATTTGTGTTCTCGAGGAAAGGAAGAGAGAGAAGATAATGCGGACTGACGTTGTGGTGTACAGGTCGAAAATCCGTTCTCTTAACCGCCCTAGCCCTCCTCTCCATCTCCTCTCTCCTCTGCGGTCTCGCTCTCAACGCAAAAATGCTTTACGTATTCCGCGCGGTATCCGGTGTGGCGAACGGGGGCGTCGTGTCGCTCTCCTCGATGATCGTGTCCGATATCGTTACGTTGAAAGAGCGGGGGAAGTGGCAGGGTATGATTGGGGCGTGTGTTGGGATTGGCAACATGGCTGGCCCGTTTATCGCAGCGGCGTTTGTGCAAAAGAGTACGTGGAGAGGGTTCTTCTGGATGCTGAGTCCTATTGCGGCGCTTTGCGGGGTTTTGTGCTTGTTTGTGCTGCCGACGCCGGTGGATCAGCCCAGGGCGGATGTCAAGACGGTCATGAAGAGGATTGATTATGGGGGCATATTTTTCGGAAGTGCGGCGCTGTTGCTGCTGCTTATCCCGATTGCGGGGGGTGGAGATTATTTCGAGTGGAATTCGCCGATGGTGATTTCCATGCTGGTGCTTGGGGGGTGCTGTGTGCTCGTTTTCGTGTACATTGAGCACAGGGTAGCGGTGCTGCCTATGATGCCGCGTACGTTTGTTCCCTTCCCGAACACCCTTTTCATATGACTTACTAATTTTCCTGTTTATCGCTCTAGTAACTCTCTTCAAATCCGGTCCCGTATCCGTCATGCTGATCCAAAACTTCCTCTTCGGAATGGTCGCCTACTCGCAAACTTACTACCTCCCCCTCTTCATGCAAAACGCACGCCGCCTCTCTCCCATCACCTCCGCTTGCCTCATGCTCCCCATTTTCGCTTCGCAAACGCTTTCTTCCATCGCTTCGGGCCAGTACATGTCGCGCTCCGGACGCTACGGCGAAGTCATCTGGACCGGTTTTTTCTTGTGGACCCTCGGCGTAGGACTAACATGCATCTTCTCCCTGGACACGCCACTGTGGGCTATCGCACTCATCCTCGCTATTCAGGGCACTGGTGTTGGCGCAGTTTTTCAACCCGTGCTCGTCGCGCTACAAGCACACTGTTCAAAAGCTCATCGTGCAATCGTCATCTCCAACCGCAACTTCATCAGGAGTCTTGGCGGCGCAGTCGGTCTGGCAGTTTCAGCGGCGACACTCCAGAGCTCGTTGTATAATGCTATGCCGGTCGAGTTTCGTCCCCTGATGCTTAGCTCGTATGATACGCCGCCGTTCGAGACAATGGATGATAGGCAGATTCGGCTCATTCTGAAGGCATATGCGACGGCTAGTCGGACGGTTTTTATTGTGAATGTGCCTTTGATGGTACTGTGCCTGATGGGGTGTTTCTTGATAAAGGATGAGGGACTCATGCATCAGCAGGAGGACAAGGGCATCGAGAAGACGATCAGTCGAGACGAGGAATCATGTCATACCGGTAAGTAATTAGGGATGGACAACAGGATGCAAAGGTCGACCGTGGGGGGGGGGGGGTTGTTTTTCCAAAGACAAAAGTCATTCCATCATTCCCTTCACTAGTACAGTATTTTATATCATACTTGAATAAAAGTCCAGTGTTCCAACGTCTTCTTCTCCTCACCAATGTCTCCAATCCCACTCCCTTTCCCACGCATAGGCCGCTTCCAAAACTTCCATCTCTCCCCACCACTTCCCTACAATCTGCATGCTAACCGGCAACCGAACTCCATCCCGCACACCTGGCCCTTCCAAAACTTCCAAGAACCCAATGGGGAGTGCAAGCGCTGGATGCCCACTTTGATTAAATGGTGCCGTATTCGACGTCAACCCAACCTGTTTCGCTACCTGCTCCAGCGGTGTCGCATCAGCAGGTGGATGGCTCGTCGCTATATACGGTAGCGTAGGCGTAAGCAACAAGTCATACTCGCTCAGCACCGCATCATACGCATCGCGCAGCTGTCTGGATAGATTGGTCGCTTTGGCAAGGAGATTCGGGAACTGTTGTGTTGCATATAGTCCGTTTAGGTAAATGTTTTTAGTAGAAGGATAGGCTTCATCCCAGCTTTCCGGGACTGCTGCGGCTTGCTGGAAGAGGGTGTTCAGGGGAAGCATTTGATGTGTACGACGCCCAAATGGACCGCTAGTTTTGCTTAGGAAGCCTCCGACTTTGGAAATGCCAGTCCATATTGCGGCGCCTTTAGCGTGCAGGGGGATGGAAACTTGGATTACGGTTGCACCTAGTGAGTTGTATTTTGAGGCTGCGGCGAGGAAGGTTTGGACTACGCGGTTGTCCATGGCGGGTGTGGAGAGGGATTCGGTTATTATTGCGAATTTTCTGCCTTGGAGGGGTTTTTCTAGGGGAAGGTTGGCGATGGAAGTGTAAAGGGGGATCTTAGAGGGGTGTGGTGCTGCGAAAGAGCGATCGTCAATGCCATCATTGCCTGCGATAGCTTCGAGGAGAAGAGCATTTTCGAACACGGTGCGTGTCATGGGGCCGATGTGGTCGTTGGTTGGCTCATTGCTACCACATCCCGTGTATGGGACGAGTCCAAATGTTGGCTTCAGACCTACGATGCCGCAATTGGCAGCTGGGACACGAATACTTCCTCCTTGATCTGCACCAATCGCTCCATCGGCTTCGCCTAGCGCGACAATTACTCCTGATCCGCTAGAACTTCCCCCTGCACTATAACCTTTTGCGAATGGGTTTTCGACTATGCCAGTACCAGAGGAGTGGCTTGTTGCCGAGTGACATAGATTTTCGCAAACAGCTTTCCCCAAGATACGTCCGCCGGATTCCAAGATACGGGTTGTGACTGTTGCATCAAGATCTGGAGCGTAGTCTTTGATGAAGTTGGTGCCTAGTAGCATAGGCACGCCCTTGATAGCTACGTTGTCCTTCAAAACAAAAGTCTTGTCGTGCAGCTTGCCTTTACCGTCAGCGAGCTTGTCAACAATGTTACACTTCCACGCCCACGCTCCATTAGTGTTTTCTGATTGCTCTGGAAAATGTACATTTTCTCTCGGAAAACGATTTTCATCCACATGTGGGACGTAGTCTATTAATGCTCAGCTCAAGTCTCGCAACTCATTGTCTTTCTGCAGCCTACCGTCCATAGCCATCAGCTGTTCGCTCGCATCATGGAAAACCGCAAGTAGGCGCCGATAGTCTTCCTTCTCTTTTTCGTCTATTGACATGCCGAGCTGTGAGCAAAGCTTGTCTAGGGTTTCCGTCGTGATAGGGTTGCCATGGCTCGCATCCAGTGAGAATACCGACATGCTTCTTTCTATTTGAGAAATCTGTAATTCTTTCAGTTGTTTTAATGGTCTCCGAGATCAATTTCTAGTAAGAAGAACGACGACGGTGATGCGCATTCAAAATTTTTGATGTGTACTAACACATTGCTAAATCGAAATAGGATTTGACACATATTGCTTAGAAGATGTCCTGATAAGAAAGCACTTCTAGGAGGGACCTTAGTGCTCCAGAAGATACAAAGGAGTTTAGGCGATGTTCTAAGAGGAACGATAACAATGATGCGGGGTTGGTGGGTCGCGTTGCCCATCGTCGGAATCGTTACTCCCGATCAACCAGCCTGCCAGTAACAACGACCGTAGACAAGCAGCTTCCGTTTGTAGAAAGATAACGACGGCTCGGGTTTCAGATGATTAGATACATATGGAGAAAGATAATGCGATCCCACATCCGGGACCCCAAAACACCTCACCTTCTGATTTTCGAGTGTCTTTGGGAACGCCCTAGTTAATCCATCATGGCCCATGTTGAAGAATCACTACAACTGCCACGAGACTTTGAAGGTGCGAAAATTCGCAGTAATAGCACCTCTAATACTTACAACTTGGTTCAGGTTTTGGAGAAGACGGCCATGATGCGCAATGGCCAAATGGAGCTCGAATAGCCGTTTCGTTTGTTCTAAACTACGAAGAGGGTGGAGAGAGAAATCCTATGGATGGAGACGGTACCAGCGAGCCCTATCTCTGGGAAAAAGGTCCATCGGGAGGTGGAAGGGAGCAACGGCATCTTAATGGTGAGCAGGACTACGAGTATGGTAGTCGATGCGGCTCTTGGCGCATACTGCGCTTGATGAAAGAGTTTGGCTGGAACATGACTCTATGGGCTATTGCTGTAGCCATGGAAAGGAATCCCTCGTTTGCCAAAGCGTGTGTCAGGGAAGGCCATGAAATCGGCGCGCATGGTTACAGGTGGTTGGATATATGGGATTATTCACTTGAGGAAGACAAAGCATACATCAAGAAGACGTGCAAGGCGCTAGAGGCGGCTACTGGTATGTGTTTTCGAATACTGTTGCTGAAGTTGAGCTGATCAGTGTATAGGAGAGTTTCCGGTTGGAGCATATTTTGGAAGAGGTACGCCGAATACAGCTAGCTTACTCCCTATCATGTGGAAAGAGATGGGCCACAAAATGGTATATACTTCCGAGGTGTATAATGAAGATTCTCCTTATTGGATCGATCTTCCATGGGAGAAAACACTCCCGGACGAAGAGAAAGAAGGCTTGTTGATGCTGCCATATAACTACGACTGTAAGCAAGAGTCATATTGTAAGTTTTAGTCGCGAGCTAACACCGAGATAAGGCAATGATGGGAAGTTCCATATGCTTCCAGGTTTTGTCAGTTCAGCCGGTGCTGTATATGAGCAGTATCTGAAAGACACGTTTGACTGCCTATACAGGGAAGGCGGGAAGATGATGACGATACCCTTGCATTCCAGGATAGTAGGTAAGCCAGGAAGATCCGAAAGTCTTCGAAATTTCATGAACTACATTTCTCAGAAAGAAGGGGTTTGGGTAGCGACGCGAAGAGATATTGCAAACCATTACCGCAAGACGTTTCCTTACAAGCCGGGGTCGAAGACTGGTGGGCTCAGCTAGCTTGAATGACTACTTCTGAAAGCCTGTTTATTTTTCAAAGGAAACGATTGAGTGAATGCAGCCGAATTTCCGTTACAGCGAGTTTCTTCAAGATGTTCGCCCCGATCCAGAGTAGATTACCCCAACGTTATCAACGACTACTAGTTCAAATGCCGACATCTCCGACCCGACATCGGCATTTTCGTGCCGACATCTTATCACCTTATCATGCACACTCATAGCTTGCATTCTGAACATATACTATCTAAGCTTGAATGATCTGATGATTTATCGGGGCTATTGCCGAGCTTAGAGACAAAGTCAGAAATGAAGAGATCAGAACGGTCCTGGGAACGTTTACCCCCACGTGTTCCGCTGAGTCTAGTCCGAAGAGGGAATAGTCTACGGCGAACCAGGACCGGCCCGTTAGTGTGAGATTAGATTCCACCTAAAAAGAACAATCAAGATCACTCAAGATGCAAATAGGAGACGATGCGACAGGCTTGTCATTTAAAAAAATTGCTCCTAAGAAAATACGAACCAACTCAATACGACCTTGTTTCCCCAAACACCCCCTCATCCTAGCGACATGTTCAGATTCGCCAGAGAGACTGCTGTGCGCGCTCCCAGTGGTCCCGATCCCGGATGTAACGGGGGTTCTGCGCTACAATGGAGCAGGGCAGGAAGCGCGATTGATCAATATCATATACTACGCTACCGCTGACGCCCTGCAAAGAGCTCTCAATAGCAACCTCGCACATGGTATGGCACTTGCCTCCCCAGTGGCCGGCGATTGCTTCCCGAACCCATTTCTGCTCCAGCTGTTGCTTCAGCTCCAACGTCTTGGTCTCGAGCGTAGCAATCTCGAGATGGCGAAGTGCGTCCATGATGATCGCAGCGGCCGGCGCTTCACGAATCTCCAGAGCCTTATCGTCTGTCGACAGGGGCTCGAGTCCGACAAATCGGCCAAGACCAAACTTTCCGACTTCTCTGTTGAGGAACGCGATGGCATCGATGAGAGGGAATTTGTTGCCATCCACTGAGACGAGGTTTCCATTCTCGAACCGAAGTGTGAGCTTCTGAGGTGGGTGGTCCTCGTGGCGTCGGGTCCATTGGTAAGCATCTTCTGGAATGCAGAAGCCTTCTGGGTCACCCAGAGGACCATCTTCGAATTCTCGGCACCAGAGATTCTCATCGCCACTGAGCTTGCGTTCGGACATGATAGTCAGTCCGGCGACGCTGAGTTCTTCCGCCTTCCTCTCTCGCGAGACGACGGAGTGCGGGTATGGGCTACCAAACTGTCCAGGGAAACCAAGACGGCGAATGCAGTTGTTAAGCCTAGGCAGACTGTTCTGCGATAGATTGGCTGTATGGAGCAGCAAACCAGCACTGACCTCTTTGGCGTAGTCGGTGATGAGGCGCGCGATGACAGGGCGGGTAAGGGAGCTGCTGACGGGGAAGAGGCCCAGATACATGGCATGAGCGCGAATAGCGGGCATGACACCTTCCTTGACAAATGCCTCGCGGCCGTCAAGAAGCTTGAACTTAGCGCCAAAATGGGCGGCGTGCTTGGTAAGGCTCTCCTCCTCAACTGGCGCTCCAACATCAACTGCCACGGCATGGATGTTGGTAAAGCCGAGCTGTTGAAGACGGAGGAGCAGATAGGTGCTGTCCAGGCCGCCGCTGAACATAGTTACGACAGGCGCATCTCGGCTCTCGAACCTCGCAAGCTGCTCGAAACTCTCAATGGGCTTGGTTTCCTTGGGGAGGGCGTCGTTGACACCGTTGACTTTTAGGCCCTGCGCTTGTTAACATGGAAATCAAAAGACACCGTGGTATTTCCATACCATGACTGCAATTGTGAGAAATTGATGGAGGGAATGAAAAATAAGTTATTTTATGAGATGAGTGCGAGAAGTAGGATTGTAACTATCAAGCAATGAGTGAAGAATGAATACAATGTCAGGTTGGTTTGCCAGGCTTTATACCTCGCGAGTGCACTACCTTCTCGTGGCGAAATATCGCTATGTCCGTTGACTCTTCGACTGACCCTTGGCCGATATCGCCAACCGGCGCTACAAGCCGTGATACTGAAGGACATACATGCATTCGAGGGAATGTCGCAAGGGTGTAGCTGCAGAAGTCAGCTGCACTTTGGAAGCAGCTCACCGCCAATGGAGGTTACATTCTGCCATTACAAAGAAACACTCAGCTGTAACCAAATTCTTTCAAAACAGATGATCAAACCCGAAGCTAGGAAAGACTACCTATCATGCCAGCTCAGCCGCACGGTTCGGGGCATACTACTGGATCTGGGCTGGATCCTTCACCGGTATACACTTCCTCGAGACAATGCCCTCAGAATCGCCTTCTCATGGTAGCAGTAGGATGCACGTGGGGCTCTGCTACAAAACGGTTCATGTGGTGTACTGCATTTCTCCATCAGCGTGTCTGAAACGATAGACAAAGGCGTGCCACTAGCATGGCCCGATAGTGGACTGCTAGTACTTACCCGCCTAAATTTAGGATCTAGATTCATCGGCTGTACAACAAATCCTTCCCCAGATCTACAGCAGCGGGCCGCGTCAGCGGTCACAAGTAAGAGTTCATGCAGATGGTTTGCCCTGCGTCTATGGGCTTACCCTTGGCGTGGTGTACAGGAAGGCTAGCGGCCGGGTAATATCAACTATTCCCCCACCAATCACGAGCATCAACACCATACAACGCTGCGACTAATTGAGAAAGTACGACAGATTGCACCATTCCTGCAGAATAATCACAGAGGGCGCCTGAATGGATCTGGAATATGCGGCATATGGCCAGTACTGCAGCACTGTGGACCACAATCAGCAAGAGCCTATATGGGGTTTAGTGCTTGTGGTACAAGGAGTATTTACCTGGTGTATACACGTTTTGATCTAGTTTCTTTTTCTAACCTCCTGCATATGCTGACTGGGCCTTTTCAAGGCATCCATCGAGTAGCAAGCATTGTAACGTGCAGGACACCGGCTCCACTTGCCCTACCGTCTGACAACCATCCTTCACCGCGGCTCAACGGCATCAGCAGACCGGCCAAGGCCGACAAGAGCACACTCCAGACCAACCTCAACCTCTACATCTTTGCCACGATGGGGTTGACCGACATCGGCAGTTGCTTCGAGGACGGTGAGGATTCGCTCCAGCTGTAGAAGCGCTTCAGGAAACACTGCTGTGTCCTTTTCCGCCGACCGTTTTTGGCAATTTCCCCAGCTTAGTGGTGTAACATGTCGAGGTCGGGAGAGTCTAGCGCGTGGCAAGACTCACTCTCCCAATGCTTCACCGCGGTGACTTTCGTTCAACAAAGAGAAATGTGACTATGGAAAGGGGACGCCTGACGAAGGATCCCAAGGCAATGTCAACTCTTGCTGCCAGTCTTTGAGGATATAAGCTTCACTGAAGCCGCAGCTATCTCGACATCCAACTCATTCAAACATCAGCTTCTCCATCAAGCATCTTCACTATCTCATTTCTCTCTCACAATGGCTATCAGCGAGTCTATCATCGTTTCCAAATCTTTGCCTACTATTCACCTCGATCTCCTTCGAGCCAACGATGCTCAGGAGAGCAAGAACTTGCTCAATGCTTGCAGAACCCATGGGTTCTTCTATCTCAATCTGAATAGCGACCCTGAGCTATGCAATCTGTGGAAGAAGATGCTCCAGAACATTGCGCAATACTTCAACCAGCCTCTTGACATCAAGATGCGCGATGCCCGTGGCAGTGATAACTTTGGGTAAGCACACACTTAGACAATGATTTAGTCTCCATACAGACACTGACCTTCTTTCCAGCTACGAGCCCATGGGCACCGAAGCAGGCCCCAACCCAAAGACCAGAGACGGCTACGAATCCCTCAAGGTACAGCATACCCCATCCTAGCACGCAAATCCAGACTGACCTGCTCCTTCCAGTTCTCGCGCCGAGAATTCCTCAAAGGATCCTCCGACCTCACCACCTCCATCCGCGCAAAGGAAGACTGCTTCTTCTCCTTCATCGACCACGCCCACACCATCACCCTGATGATCCTCTCCCGCCTCTCCACGCAACTAGGCCTAACCGGCGCCTCCCGCTTCGAGGCCCACCACGCCGACCCAGGCCCATCCCTCTCCACCCTCGGGCTGCTCCGCTACCCCAAACACGAAGGCGCCAGCGCCGCCGAGCCCCAAAACGTCGGCCACAACAAGCACACCGACGTCGGCACCCTGACTTTCCTGCTCGCCGCCCAGTGGGGCCTCCAGTACCTCTCGCTTACGAGCCGCCGCTGGGAATTCATCGAGCCGCGCGCCGGCCACGCTATCATCAATGTAGGCGACAGCCTACGCTTCCTCTCTGGTGGCAAGCTGGCGAGCGTCGTCCACCGCGTTGTGCCCCTGCACAAGACGCAGCTTGAGGACCGTTACAGCATGGCCTACTTTTTGCGCATGAATGATGGCGGTATCTTTAATGATACGTCTAGCAAGAAGTGGACCGCAAAGGAGTGGCACGATTTCAAATTTGGTGTCTTCAAGGATCCTAATACGCTGGATGCTGAGGGTCGCTTTCTTACGGGCATGATGATTGAGGAGTTGGAGGGCCCGATTTTGGTTGCGCCATAGATGGCTTGCGGAGAGGGGACTAGAGTACGGTTTGTGCGGGATAGTAGGATCTGGTATTGTGGGCGTTTTTTTCTGGGCGGGCCGCCTAACGGATGTGGGGGGTTTTCTATGTTTCCTTTTGTGATGGGTTTCTTTTGAAAATCGCGTATTGTATGGTACTCGATTAGATGTTTCCTTTGGTATTTGCTAGGGTACTCAAAATACATTCTTTGCTTGAATACAACTTCGCATATGTTTGTTCTTGTGCTCAAGTGATGGTTGCAGCTCATTGGTTGCCAAAGCTCATTGGCACTACTACTATCCGAGATAACTACAACCACATAATAGAAACATATACATCAAATCCACTCAATACTTGACATACAGCAATAGCCACAAAGACCAATA